TCAGTGACATTGGTTACATTTCCACAATGTGTGAACATTCTCATTATTTCCATTCTGGTTGTTCTGTTTCTAGTAATCTGGTTTCCCTGCTCCCTTCTCATCTTTGTTTTTAAGATAATTGTTGACCATTTGGTCTCATACATGATTTTTTAAAGGAGTGCAATACTTATGGGTGATATTTTTTATTTTGTGAGCCAATCTGTTATTTAGCTATCAGGTGACCTCAGGCAGTAGTTTCAGTTCAGGGTTTAAAGAGTATCTTAGGGCAACAATAGTCTCAGAGTCAAATAATCTCTTATATGAGACAAAGAGTGATCATTATGTAGTCTCTAAACTGTGATTATTATATTTATTGTCATTTATTTTTCTTGAAACAGTTTTAAACTTTTTTATTGGCAGGGCCTCACTGCAGTGGATGTTACTGATGATTCTAGTCTCATTGCTGGAGGTTTTGCAGATTCAACTGTCAGAGTGTGGTCTGTGACACCCAAAAAGCTTCGCAGTGTGAAACAAGCCGCAGGTAACCCAGATGACCTGTGAGGATGTAAACATTTCATTTTTCATTAGTTTTTACCAGTTTTGATTCCATGGAATATACACAAGAGCTTGTGATATTAGTAGAAATTCACTTGATTTCACTTTAACTCAAGATGCTAACATTAACAAAGGAAAGCACATTGGAATGGCAGTCAGGAGACTGGGGTGCTAGGCTAGCTTAATTTCTATGGCCCTCAGTTCTCTCACCTATAGAATAAGAGGATATGCTAGAAAATTTCTTGAGGTTAAACATCTAACATTTTATGATTGCTTGAGAATTTTCAAAAACCTTTAATAGTGGGAGAGTACATGCTATTTTAGTCATAAAAAATGGCTAAAAAAAAGATCTAATAAGTTCAAGATTTCATTTTAAAGAAAGTTTCTTGCTAACTGTATTATTTAAACAAAATAACACATTTTAAAGAATTTTAGTATTTTCTTTTTTGTGAAACACTGGTATAGTGGACAAACTTGAGTTTCAGTCATACTTTCAACGTTGAATAGCTGTGTGCACCTAGCAAATTATTAGCAGTTCTGAGCTTCCGTTTCCTCTCCTATACAACTAGGAAAACAACACCTAATTTAGAGGCATTCAGAACTTCCCAAATGTTAGTACCTCTCCTGAACTGTGATGTGATTGCCTTGAACTGTTTTGATGAATGTACCTTTAAAAATCAATATTTCTGGACCATTTTAGATCTTAGCCTCATAGACAAAGAATCTGATGATGTCTTAGAAAGAATCATGGATGAGAAAACAGCAAGTGAGTTGAAGATTTTGTATGGTCACAGTGGGCCTGTCTATGGAGCCAGCTTCAGTCCGGACAGGTAAAATACAAACAGTAAAAGTTAAATACTGCCACATTATATTGAGATTCTATAAAAGTTAAATACTGGAAACATTATGCAAATACTTGAAAAAGATCTGTTAGAAAAATCTCATGGTTACCTGTCATTCATTATCTTTTAGAATCTTGCTATTTGCTAATTCATCTTGGCATACGGGTGTACAAAATGACAACTTAAATGTATACCTGAATTTATAGAATCAAGATGCATAGCTTCAGTTTACTGGTTTAAAAAATTAGTTTTAGTTTTGCATAACTACAATGCCTTTTCTCATTACCCCTTGGTATTATTTTTAAGAACCGTGCATTTTTGCCCTAGTAGACCATACTTTTTATAATCCCACCTCATTCAGTAGGTGCCCAGTAGATGCAAACTGTCAGGGCTAAAATTAATTTGATTGGTACTTTGTTTAAATAATATTTTATTGTGTTTTTGGTTGAAATTTACACAGCAAGCTAGGACTACTTTCAACTTTTGATCTCCACTGTGAATTCCATGTATATATTAAAAGTGAGATGTAGCATGTAAACAATTTTTAATACATTCAGATATGTGGAATAACAGGCCAGGTAACCAAAAATTATTCAGGGAATGAAATGTATCACCTTCTCTTCTCTTAGGAACTACCTGCTTTCCTCTTCAGAAGATGGCACTGTTAGATTGTGGAGTCTTCAAACATTCACTTGTTTGGTAGGATATAAAGGACACAACTATCCTGTATGGGACACGCAGTTTTCTCCATATGGATATTATTTTGTGTCAGGAGGTCATGACCGAGTAGCTCGGTAAGGACACTGTAATCTTACAACTGAGTCTGTTCAGTGAGCAGAATGTTTTCTATTTGGGAATTACAAACTCCAAACTCATTTTCACTTCCATTATTCAGAGACCAACTTTTTGAGAATGTTAATCAGTCAGGGTTACATAAGCAAGGATATTGATTTCTTGATTTTATTCTTCTGTCTCAAGTTACTCAGCATTTAGAGCCCCATATCTGAAAATAAACTGGGACAGGAATATTACTATGTCTGCTTAGTCCTGCTTTTCTTTGTCAAGTTAGTTTATTGCCATGCCTCCCTCCCCTTCAATGCTTAACCTTATCTTCCACTACCACTGTGAGTACCTTTGTTTCCCTGACATTTCCTTAAACGTTTAGGATAAATTAGATCAGGCTGGAAACTAATTATGTCGTGGCCGGAACTAAGCAAAAATTCTTTTTTATGGTTTAGACAAGGAATTGGGGTGGAAGAGAATGGGGGAAGGTTCATATAGGGAATTAAAAAAAATTTTTTTACCAGATTAACTCTATTTAGTCTCATTCATCTTCCCCTCAGTTAACCAGTGAGCCAGTATTTGACAAAGCTGCTTCCATGTTTATTTTTGTACAGAATTTTGATATTTCATAATTACTAACTGCCATCTTTTCAATAACTTCTAAAAAGGCTCTGGGCTACAGACCATTATCAGCCTTTAAGGATATTTGCTGGACATCTTGCTGATGTAAACTGTACCAGATTCCATCCAAACTCTAATTATGTTGCTACGGGCTCTGCAGACAGAACTGTGCGGCTTTGGGATGTCCTGAATGGTAACTGTGTAAGAATCTTCACTGGACACAAGGTAATTTTCACCTTTGTTATTCCAGCACACAAAATTGTTTTCAAGATAAAACCTATTTTTTAACTTAACAAGCAGCACTTACATTTTAAAGATAGTATTCATATCACTAAACATTAAAATTCTAACTTTATCTTATTTTCTTATGTATATTTAGCTCTACGTTATTTACATTGACTTCTTTTTTCTAGGGACCAATTCATTCCTTGACATTTTCTCCCAATGGGAGATTCCTGGCTACAGGAGCAACAGATGGCAGAGTACTTCTTTGGGATATTGGACATGGTTTGATGGTTGGAGAATTAAAAGGCCACACAGATACAGTCTGCTCACTTAGATTTAGTAGAGATGGTGAAATTTTAGCATCAGGTAAACGACTAGAAATGGTTTTGTGGTAAATGGTATGCTAAAAGGAAACACTGGGCAACGAATTATAAATGTTGAAGTTGTTGTGTTGGCTGATGTTTTGGTGTATTTTCACCATAATAATAATAATAATAATAAAAGGAAATACTGGGTGTTGACAATTGAAAAATTAAGTCCTACTATTTTAGGTTTAAGGAGCCCTGGTGGCACAGTGGTTAAGTGTCCGGCTGCTAACTGAAAGGTTGCCAGTTTGAACCCATCTGCTGCTCCAAGGGAGAAAGATTAGCAGTCTGCTTCCATAAAGACTACAGCCTTGGAAACCCTACGGGGCAATTCTACTCTGTCCTATAGGATCACTATGAGGCAGAATCGATGGCGACGAGTTATTTTAGGTTTTGCTTCCCTTTAGCTATCACTCTACGTGTATGTTGACTTCTCAGTTAAACTACTGCTTGAAATATTCCTTGAGAAGTTGTTAAATCAAGTTTAGGTTTTTTTTTAATCAGATGTCTACAGTAAATACATAAAATACATTTGATAAAATGTCAAACTCTAAATGTGATGAATGCTACTAAATGGATTTACTTAACTGCCCCTTAGGTTCAATGGATAATACAGTCCGGTTGTGGGATGCTATCAAAGCATTTGAAGATTTAGAGACCGATGACTTTACTACAGCCACTGGCCATATAAATTTACCTGAGAATTCACAGGAGTTATTGTTGGGAACGTATATGACCAAATCAACACCGGTTGTACACCTCCATTTTACTCGAAGAAACTTGGTTCTAGCTGCAGGAGCTTATAGTCCACAATAAACCATCGGTACTAAAGACCTTTTGGAAGCTACTGTTTGAAAAAGGGAGACTAAAAGCAAATACCTCAGTGATTAATATTTAAGCTACAAAGAATGTTTTGTCTATATGGATCTGAAGTATGCTGCTTGGAACATCTGAACAGGACATTTCCACGTTTCTATAGCAACCACATTTAACTAATTTCCGTTAGTTGAATAGGAGATACTATGTTCGTGGAGGGGACATTTATGGTGCTTTGGATTGTGTGGAAACTATGCATATTCTGTTCAAATACTACTTTAATTTATTATGTTTGGGAAAAAAAATCAATTGATTTCAATTCATCCTGCTTCAAAGATTCAAATTGAGTAATATAATACCATCTTAAATTTTAGCTGAAGAATTCTATGAGCATGTATGTTTCTGCTGTAAAAATGTTACTGTATAGCACTCAAGTAAGATGTTAAGTAGATTCACTAACATTTTTTCTTGGCCCGTGATTAGCACAATGTCTGTGACTGGGTAGGGGGAACTACATTTCCTTTCTAAGAGTTAGATGAAGTACAACCATCTACTGACATCTAAATTTACGCTTGTTAGTACTGAGTGCACGTAAACACTCCATAAACCAGGTTTCCATGTTCTACTTCAGCTAACAGATACATACAACCTAGTACACTTGAAGTCAGACAGACATTTCAGTTGCTTACCTCTAGTACTGAGCCTTGCTTTGGTAAACTAAAAGATTTAGACCAAGTCACTGCCAGTTTTTTGCCTTTGTTTCATTTTGTACAGTTTTTATATTTTTGATATCTTGTAAATAAAGACAACCAGCTTTTCCAGGTTCATAATTTATTGTACAAATTGACTATCACATGATGAGTTGATATGAGCTTCTCCAGGCATGAGAACTTAGCAGTTGAGGTTCAGACAGTTTAGAATCCTATAAAAACAAACAAACTGGTTTAGACAAACATATTCAAAACTTTTACAACATTCACTAATTACTATGCTAGGACTATCTATAAAGCCCCTGGAATTGAGGGCAAAATTTGTATTACCACATTTTTATCACACCCTCAAAGCAATCATTAACCCAAAAAAGGTTAAGCTGTCACTCAGATTAATACAATTTAACCTAATGCTCCACCACTTTAAAAAAAAAAATCTGCCAACAATTCAGTATGGTCTTAAATGCATACTATTGGAAGTCTACTATATGAAATAACTATTTTAAACAGTAGAAAAGAGAGATGAAACCATTACTTAATATCTGAGACAATTTCTCCATTTTTTGCAATGAGAATACAACTACTCTTCAAAAGCTAGGGAGCATCAAATATGGAAAATTGAGCAAAACACTACCTGTTTGTGAGACATACGCCATGGGCCACTGCATTCTGGATATGCAGTCCCCTAAGGTAAATAGTTTTGGGGACTAGAAGAGCTCTTAAGCGCAAAAGAAAAATTTTCTCTCTGGATTTTGGGCTTTCCACACATCACCTATTGCCAACACAACAGCTATTTACTCCCTTAAGGATGGGCAAATGCGGTTTGGGTAACAATAAGAAAAGTGAAAACGACGTCTATAGAGTTAAGGAAAAGACAGAACTGTCTATAAAAGAATTTGAAACTAATAAACTGGCCAAAAAAAAATACAACTGATATAAATGGGTGGTTAATAATACAAAGAACTTACACAAGTCACCAAAAGAAAACCTAATTTAAATAAAAGGAGATAAATAGAACATCTGGTAAACAAATGGGAAAAAATGTACAACTTTACCAGTAAGCTAAGAGTCACAAAATATTTTTACTCATCAAATTAAGAAAAATCAAATTGATACTGCTCCACACTGGCTAGGGCAAAAGAGACACAACCCTTTGCGAAAGCACTTTAACCTAAGAAAATCAGAGATACAGACAACACTTCTTGCTCAAAAGTGTTCATTGTAACTGTATTTATAGAAAATTCTAATAGATTTCAGCTGTGAAATACATCCTTGAACACTCATGCACTCAAATTATAACAGGAACATACTTGTTATAAGACATAAAATTAAAGACATGATCACAGCCATAACCAAACAAAATACATAAAAAAAGACCTAAACTAAAATAATCAAAATCGTCAGGGTGATTGGCTCTGGCAATATTTTTCTCTTGTATATAATAAATTTTACACAATGATAATGATTTATTTTTATGGGGGGGCTAAAATCAAAAAGACTAAGTTACAAATTTTCAAGTGTTAACTTACCATTTACGTTGCTTTCACAGCAGGAGTTTTTTTAGACCTTAACTTGAAGTATAGGACAAGCAAAGCAATGCCCCCGTATGTGGCCAGTACACACTGAAAAGAAAGGAAAAGGTGAACAATAAGAGATTATTACTGTCACACATGTTATTTTAAATATAACTGCTTAAAGGTATCACTAATACTTACATTCATTCTACCTGTGAGAGTATAAGAGTTGAAATATTTTTTAATACCAGTGAACTGAAATTGAGCATCGGTTTCTGGACCTGCCATGATTTCAATCTTTAAAAAAAGAAAGAAAGCAGTGGTAAATTGGTTTGGATGCAATTTAAAAGAAAGTAATTTTGTTTTTTTTTAATTTAAAAACGAAGTCATTACATAGAAACATGGTAAATTTTATGTATGTTTCACCCACCACAGCAGTAGCAAAGATGGTAGAAAAGCCTTGCTGATAAAGAGAAACTTTTGGAAGTAGGACTTCATCTTTGTTGCTATTACACAAACACTCCAGAATAAACACTCTTGAAGTCAAATCACTCAGCATAGGAAGAGAACACAGTAGTCACTACTAAATCCACCCTATGACCCAGTATAGTCTAATGTTTTCATACCTGGCTCTATCTACACTGTGGTGCATGGTACATTGTATTAATCAGTTTTAAGACTAATTGAGACTTAAGCTAGAGCTTGTGATACTTTTTCAAGCTTCTTCACAAGGGTGACCACCAACCATACAGCTCAACTTGCAACCCCTACTTTTATAACTTGGCCTGTTATAAATAATTTCGGACCTCTAAGTAGGGAGGGGGAGAAGGGATTGGTTAATGAATGGAGTTGACTGCAATTGGTAGTGGTGAGTTGGAATCCTAACTTCTTACACCAAAATAGACAGATTAAAGATTTACATGTAAATAGTAAAACCAACCAGCCCTAGAAGAAAACATGGGCAAATATTTTAATCATCTCAGGGAAAGGAAATCTTCATAAAGAATATCAAAAACAAAAAGATGAAACATAAAAATATAATCAACTTCACAATAAGTCAAAGAAATGCAAAATGACGCCAATATTTAACCATCAGACTGGCAAAGATAAAAATGTGATAATCAGTATTAGTAAAAACATGGGGAAAACAGGCATTCTCTTTCTGTTACCTGGAGTATAAACTGGCACAACCTCCCTACAGTGAATCTGGCAATATCTATCAAACTGTAAAATGAATATACCCTTTTATCCAGCAAGTTCATTTTTTCTTCAGGAACCTTCCTTATATTACAAAGTGGAAACATGCTATATTGTTCAAGGATGGTCACTGAAATGCTGCTTACAAAGTAAAAAAAATTGGGTAACAATCTAAAAGTCCATTTATAGGAGACGGGTAGTTGGAGGGAATATAATGTGAGTAGATCTTTTTGGAAAAATACCCCATGTATCGTTAAATATGAAAGAAATAATATTTCTGAATATTATAGATTACATCAATGGTTCTCAAAGACCTAGTTCTTGGTCCCCTAGACCATCAGCATCAGCATCACTAGAAATTCATTAGAAATAAAAATTCTCAGGCCCTATACCATGGACTGCCAGAAAAATGAACAAATCTATCTTGGAAGAAGTTATGTACAGCTAGAATGCTCCTTAGAAGCAAGGATGGCAAAACTTAGTCTCACTTACTTTGGACATGTTATCAGGAGGGACCAGTCCCTGTTTAACGACATCATGATTGGTGGAGGGCAAAAAAGAGGAAGACTCTCAATGATATGGATTGATACAGTGGCTGCACAATGGGCTCAAACATACCAATGATTGTAAGGATAGTGCAGGATCAGGTAGCATTTTGCTCTGTTGTACACGGTAGGGTCACTATGAGTTGGAACTGACTCCACGGAATCTAACAACCACCACCACCCATGCTGACTGAATTAGAAATTCTGGGGTCTAGCAATCTGTTTTAATAAGTCCTTCAGGTGATTCTGATGCAAAGTAAAGTTTGAAAACCACTGTAGTAATAGAAATAGAAGACGAAACACTTATTAGTAATTACAGTTTAAAAATTCGGAAGAATATATAGACAACTTTTTAAGAGAAGTTATTTCTATAGTAACTGTATTTTATAAAGGCATGTATTTCTTTTGTAATAAAAAATAACAAAGATATATTCAAAGGTCACCAGAACAACAGTAGAAAATTCGTATGTATGACCGCCTATCTACCACGACCGACGCCACGCCGAGTCGATTGGCAACATAGACGAGCCGGTCGAGGTCCGGTCGAGGTCGGCAGGCAGTGGCAGTGACTCAGCTGGCACTTGATGAAATGGAAGGAGAGATCTGTGAGGAAGCCATTGCTATAGAAACTAGCACTACCCCTCAGTTTACCATTCAAAGGCATTTACATGCATAGAATTGGTAATAATTTGAGACAAATGACCTTAGTTTTGAACACCGTTTCAAGGTCCTTGGAGCAATGGAGGAAATCCAAATTTCTTTGGGCCCTTCTATTTTAAGAGGCCGTGGCCAGTCCAACCCAAGCGGGAAAAATCTACGTTAAAAGAAATCTTTACAATGTACCTTTTATATTAACGGTTTCATTTTACACAACTTATTAAAGGCATTTTTTTTCCATTCATCTTTATGATACATTTTTGGATTTTTATGGTATGAAGTAGGTTTCCAGGAGAAAAGGCTTTGTCCAATTATTAATTGATAACCCTATTAGTGAATCTCTCTCCACTACTTTGTGTTTAACAAACATTTTAAGGAGGATGTGGTATTCACAAGTGTTTTAAGTTCCCCTCTCCTTTATACAATATGGGAAGAAGGATGACGCCTGCGATATTCCATAGATTAAAAGGGAAGGGCATAGTTAGTATCAAACAAATACCAAGCCCATTGCTGTCTAGTTGATTCGACTCATAGCGACCCTATAGGACAGAGTAGAAGTAAGTGCCCCATAGTGTTTCCAAGGAGTGGCTGGTGGCTTCGAACCGCCGATCTTTTGGTTGGCAGCCTGAGCTCTTAACCACTGCGTCACCAGGGCTCTATAGTTAGTATGGGAACTGAAATATAACTGAGTCTTAGGAGGAAGGCTTTTGAGAGTCTGAGATGGAGTAGGGACTGGGGTGTTGCTGGTGAGATAAATAATGGGAGCAAAGCCTGGAAACACTTGGGTCTGCACCCTTTAGCAAACAGCAGGTTACTTTAGGGCAAAGATCAGGGACCTCTTGTGTTAGAACTCACTTTATAGAATAACTGAACCTGAATTCTCTCCTTTGAGTCATGTTAGTTTAGAAAGACATATTAATGAAGGGAAAAGTTAACTTAAGACATTTATAATTGTGATTTAGTATTGCTAAACGGTAGCCTGTGGGGAAGTGTAAAGGGGGGGGGCGGGTAACTGTTACTGAACATAATTAATCCTTCCATGCCTCTTTCCACCTGTGAAATGGGTATTTCAGAAAAGGCCTAAGGTGACTGGTTGTCTTCGCTACTTTCTATGTTCTTCAATATTGTTGTTCTTGTCTGACTGGACACCTACTGGGAATGGTGAAAGCACGAGGTAAAGAAGGCAAAGACGAAGTGAGAGCCGCTGGGGTACCAGAAGCAGCCTCTTGTGCTTCAAGGAGTTTACAGCTCTGTTCTGGCTACCTCCTAGGAAAGGCTTTCCCGCTGACCGAACACCGACTGAAATCTAATCCGCCAGGTGAGCTGCAGGGAAGGGGTACACTCACTCCCACTTTGACAAAGACTGCAGCGCAGCTAAAAGAGGCCTGGCTGACCAGCTTTCTAAGCATAACTCAGAGGAAATAAACAGCTATGGGCATAGGGAGGAAGAGAGGTTAATTTGGCCAGAGATGGGGGCAGAAGCCCGAATCTTCGTCCAATATTACGTCACTGGTGACCTTGGGGGACTACCTTCGCGGCGGGCCTCATTTTTCTCCACTGGAAAACCCAACTTAAGGGCTTCAGGGACTGTGGAGGCCTTCGGAAGCACGTGTCTGCCTCACCCCGACGCTTCCGAGCCACCGCCCGCCCCAGCCCTCGTTTTCTCTAATTCCTTTCCCATTCCCTACCGATCTCGCCCGGCAAACCGAAGGCCTCGCGGTGTTCCCGGACCAGGAACAGTGAGATTGTAGACCTGCCCCGCAAAGCAGAGGCGCGAGGTCAGAGTACGGGCTCCCTTTATACACCCACCTTGCCAAAGCTCCAAATTCCACAGCCTGTGTCCTTCAAGGTACGTAGCCACCCGTCAGCCCAGCCGGAAGAAGTCGCCTCCTCTGCAGCCGTTCAACCGGCCACAACGATCTAGCCTTCTGCGTCGATTGGCTGCGCCTTGAAATTCCGCCCTTCCGCTTCCTGCCTCCAAATCGTCTGTCCTGCGGGGTAGAACGCAACAGAGTAACGGAAGTAGCTAGTTGAGCCCGCCCACGCTTCCGGAAGAGCATCGTTGGGCGGTGAGTTTACTGGTCTCCTCGTGTGTGACTACGGCGGCGCGGGCTCCGAAATAGAGAGGTGCCTGCCTTGCAGGGCTGGTGAGTGAGAGCCGAGGCGGGAGGAAGGGAACCATGTGGCTTCCAGGGCTGCCCCGGGGCCAGGTCCCCCAGATGGTGCTATGCGAGTGGTTCGGCCTCCCGAGCCCCACTCCCGAAGCCGACTCTGTACCTTGGAAGCAGCCCAAGTCCCTTCTCTGCCGCTGACTCGCCTTAAATACTTCTTGAAGCCTCAGTTTCCTCTTGTCTGAAACTGGGATTCAAATTCCCAGCAAATTAGACCCACCTACATTTTACTCCAAATCCTAGGCTCCTCGGTCATCATCTCCTCTATAGTCCCACGCCCTATAGATTCTTATTTCTAAGTGTCTCTCAGAACCAACCCTTCCTGTCTGATTCTCATGGTTTCTTCACTGCAATAGAATCCTAACAGGTACCTGTCTTCAGTCCTTTCTTCCTGTCCAATCTGTTTTGTTAGGTGCCGTCGAGTTGGTTCCAACTCTTAGCGACCCTATGTCCAATCTATAACCTCCTGTATATTTGATTAGTCTTGATTACTGTTCTGTGTCTTCCCCTACCTAAGGCTCTTATTTGCCAAAGTAAGTATTAACTACTCATATCTAATCCAAGATCTTCCACAAAACTGGTCTTTTAAAATTTAACTCCAGTTTTTATGTTTTATTCTGTCTTGTAGTCTAGCTGATCATTTCTTTAAAGAAAGGAAACAGCATGCCGGTGTTTACTGAATGGAATGGGCTTTTCCTGTTACTCTGCCCTTTCTCACATTCCTCCTGGTTTTCCCTCCCCACCTGTCAAAATTCTATTCATCTTTTAACATTCAGCTGGAAGCATCTTTTAGGAAGCTCGTCTCTATTTACTGAAGCCTCATATCACTTCCTACCTCCTTGTTGACACTTACAATCTGACTTGTATTTTAAATTATTTGCATACTTGTTTTATCTTTTTAAAAGTATCCAACTTCCTTGAAGATAAAGAGTTACATATTTATTTGTGTGTTTCTGACCTAACTGCCTTAGACATAGTAGCTGCTCAATGAATATTACATTGAATCTGTAACTTCTTTTTCTGGAGGAAGTTCTGTGGACTTGTGGTTTTAAAGCTGGTACCTTTGGAAGGATGAATAATGGATTATTTGGGGCCTGATGTCTAAGTCTTCTCTGTCCTATTCCTGAATGCTTTCGAGCACATTGGAGCTAGAAGGCTCTGTCTCTTGCCAATCATTATAACCTTTAGGAAATCTGCCAGTAAGGCTACATCTCATTGTTTCTCTTTGCACTGTTTTTAGGAGACCCAAACATGGCCTTGGAAGAAAGTTTCCCCCGAGGGGGTACAAGAAAGGCCCACAAATCAGAGATAGCTTTCCAGCAGTCAGTTGAACAAGACAACTTATTTGATGTAAGTGGTGTGCTTATTTGGTGAGAGGCACTGAAGCTTTCTAGTGTCCTTATGAAGAATGAGCCTTGCTTGAGATGTGTTATTTTCCAGATTTATATTTTTTAAAGTCCACTTCTCCAAGTTAAACTTGTTAGACCGGCCATACTACCATGAGTCTATTTCTTTTGAAGCATGGCATTTAATGAAGTGGTATTGTTCCTTGTTCTTAGGAACTCCCTACTTTGTTGATTAAAGATGGAGAGAAAGTGGTTTGGTCATTGCATTTTTGAATGTGGCCGTTGTCATGTATAACAGTCATAGTCATAATTTGCATTAGCATCCGTGGTCTTCAGCTAGAATAGACTGCCCTCTAAATGCCAGAGGGATGAAACTAACATTCGAATGTATGGCCTTTTGCATGTGTTATGTAATCTTTCCAACTATATTATGAAGTAGAGATCGCCATTCCATGATGAGGACCTGAGGCTCAGAGAGGTTATATAGTTTAGTTGAAACCACACAGCTTTTTATGGTGGCGTCAGAGTTTAACTCAGGCCTCTGTGACTCTAACTTCCATTTTCATGCACTGTTCCGCATTACTTCTCATGCTGGGAAACCCCAGGGTCCCTCCCTGTGAAGGGATGAAATGAAGAATGCTGGAGAAAAGGGGCTTTCAAGAACACAAAGGAGGCTCAGGCCTTGGGTAAAGGGAGCATTGTGGGTAGAATGGGAGGGTCTGGATTGAAGCAGAAATTAAGGAGCATTTAGGAGTAGGGTGAGGTGGAGTGGAGGAGTATGCAGAGCAAGGTGATGGATGACCTGAAATCAGAGGGAAAGGCCAGGATTGCTTCTTTCCATTCTTTTGGATCTTTGTGGGGCTCCCCCTCCCTTTTTAGATTTCTACTGAAGAAGAATCCACCAAACGGAAAAAGAGCCAAAAAGGGCCAGCCAAGACGAAAAAGTTGAAAATCGAAAAGAGAGAAAACATCAAGCCTGTGAAAGAGAAGTTTGAAATCCTTAGTGTTGAGGTTTGTTGAAATTTGGTTGTTCTTTAAACAGACTACCTTAGATGCTTAAGTTTGTGTATGTTCTTCCCGCCTTCATCCTCTCCTTTCCTTCCTTTTATTTTTGTCTGTGGAGGCTCTTGCAACTGGTGCTGAGAATTGAGCATTATTTTCTTCCATTATTAACCACCACCTGGGGTCATACTTTTTCTTAGCTGGCTTGGCTTATAGAGTCCCTCGTTAGGCTTTGTGTCCTCATGGAACTTGTGGCTTGATAATGTCAATATTTTAGTTGATTCATAGAAGGTTAGGGCTGGCAATAACTATAGTGTATAGTGTATGTTAATATATAGTGTATAATAATTACTAATTCAACACTTTCATAGATGTGGAAATTGTCTCAGGGAAGTGAAGTGGTCTT